CCCGCCGCCCCCCCCCGCCGTCACCGCCGCCGGAAACGACCCTCGGCTTGCAGCGCGGGCGAGCGTACCGCTACCGCCGCCCTTCCAAGAGGCACGCCGAGCGCCGCCGCCGCCGCCGCGGTGGCCTCCGCCTCTCCCCGTTTCCCCGTCGGCAGCGGATTCCTCCCCCGTGTCTGTGTCTACCTCCTCGCCATCGTCCTCTTCGGAGGTGTCGTAGTAGCTGCCAGAGTCAGGTTCCTGGGGAACCGTGGGTTTGGTGCGGTGGTGGTGATTTGGACGTGTGGTTCACTGGTTGATCGATCGTGTGAACTTTGTTTTCTGTCCATCGCAGACACATGTTTTTTTATTGTTCCACCTTCTTTCCCCCTGCCGTGCTTGCCCCCGACTTTAAACGCGAACACCGTTCAGCACTCCCTCCCCTCCAACGCCTGGTGTACTCACGAACCAAATCGATTTCCGCCCCAGATTCGAACATTGTTCACCCCAAAGACAGGTTCGAACTCACTATACACCCAAAGCATTCCTTCCGCATCTGATCCTTCGAACGAACGACTACAGTACTTCACTTCAGCTGAATCGTGGTTCCTATTGGTCGAAACAAAAGACGGCTGGCCACGGAAAATGAAAGATGGTGGACCGACGTCTGCGAGAGCTGTTGCATCATCATCGTGTGCGGCAGAACCTGAGTGAGACACGTATGCACAGGAAGACCAGAGCTCTGTCGCCGATGCTTCATTCGATCGCGCCCCCCGGCCCTCATACGTCCGTCCCACTTTTCTCCTTCCTTCCCTCCTTCGCTGTAAACCTCTTTCACCTCGTGATCGTCGTCATGATCGTCATCATCTTCTGCGCTGCTGCCGCTCTTAGACGTCGCGCTCGTCCCGTCCTCGTCGTAGGCGCTGGCAAAGTTAGCCGCCGCGGCTTTGAGCTCCAGGTAATCTTCGTGCGCCTACAGCAGTACGACACCGACCAAAACGCCGGTGAGCAAACCATGTACAGGAGGGGAAAGGGGCCGGGGTGTACTCATCGTCCATGCTCCACCGCCGTGGCCTTCAGTCACAGAACCCGCTCATCCTTACAGGCCCGAGGTGAGTCGAGAGGTGCGTCGTAATTCCTCCAAAACGGCAGGCACTGTATACTTTTCGATTCGCCAACAAGGGAAGGTGAGGAATTTGTCCGGTGAGTCGCGTGTCGAGAGGGTGTACTAATAACTGCGTCTCCAGCATCCGCTGGTGATCGCGGGAGGCTGGCCGTCGGCACGTCTTACAGAACCTACACTATCTTGTGTTGCTAGGCTGGCAGCTCTCAATAACAGGGGCAAGGTGAAGAGTTGTACGAGACCAACACAACCATAGCTGTAAAGTTTGCCTTTGAGGGGACACGTTGCTTCACCAATACAAAAAACAAAACAACAAACTGGTGAAAAAAATAGCGGCGCACCTGGTGAGCCTTGGTTTCCTCTGGATAGTCGTCGACGGTAATCCCAGGGCCCAGAGCCGCTTGCCTCCGCCCTCTCAACGTGAGCGCGAGCACGTCCCGCTGAATGCTGACAAAACATCATGGGGAGAGGATGAGATGAGAGAGGCCAGCCCCCGCGCACCAACAACATTGGCATTGGGTGGGAGGTATGGTACGGCAGGCTTGACTCCACTCATATGCATATCATCATCTCCTCTTTTCTCACGCCCCTAGTGGCATCAGCCTTGACTCCACTCACAGCACCCTGTCTTCTCACCCCCCTAGCCCTTCCCTCGACCCCACAAGACAAGACACCTACAGCATTAACATGCCAGGCTACTCATTTCCCTCCCCCTCGACACGGGAGCTGCATGGCAAGCGCCCTCTCGCTCTCACCCGTCCACCGCTCCCAGGAGCAGCACCACTGCGGGAGGAGTCGGTGCCTGGCTTACACCGACGGCGGCCGCGGCCTCCCCCCCCTGCCTCCGCCCGACCGTGAGCCTCAGCGCCGTAGGCCGTGCCGGCTCCAGCGTCACGAGGACCCCCGACGAGTACCTCCCCTCTGCCAACACCACCACAGCGGTCGCCTCGGCTCCGTCCTGAGAGGTCGCCGACGGCGATGGCTTGCCACCATCCGCTGCGGCGGCAACCTCCCCCCCGGCTCCTGTCTCCTCCTCCGCCGCCGCCCCGTCGTCTTTCTCCCCAGATCCCGTCGCTAACGCGGCCTCCGGCGAGCCTTCCGCGACGGCGCCTGCGGGCTGCACGGACGCCGCCGCCGCCGTTTCGACGGTGACACCGGGCGGCTCCGCTCCCGGGCTGTTGCCATCCGCGACGGCGGCGGCGGCGGCATCGCCGGGTTGTGCCACCACTCGAATCTGAAAAAGAGAGAGGTTGTGTGAAATTACACAAATACGTGGCCACCGAAATCTGCGTGTGAGATGCCAACGCAAATTACCATCGGCACGTTTGCAGCAGTGAAACATCTGCCCTGTCCACGCCACAGTTGAAATGTGGCCCCCGTTGAACATAATGCGCACCGTCAAGGCTTCATGCCCATGCTCTGAACCCGACTCACGCCGCCGCCAAAAAACAGCAGCACCAACCGGAGTACCATCATCATCGTCGTGACACCAACAAACAACAACGTTTGACAACGAATTATCCTCATGAATATGTACGTGTCGTGGACAAGTCAGACAACAATATCACACCGTTAGCGTTGCTAACACTAGAGATTAATAAACCCCACCAAATAACCACACAAAACGAGCAATACTCCTCGTTCTTCTCTCTGTTCAAAACTGAGCAGCGGATGTCAACAATGAGCGGTTCGTTTTGCGAAGGGAGCCAGAACAAGATGCATAGAGTCCCTACGTGAAGCACAGTCCTATGTGAAAAAGGTTGCCGAAAGAGCAAAGCAGCCGCACAGCATACGAGACTATGATCAGGGACCACAAGACGCGCGTAGTGTACCCTCGGCCTGCTCTCCCCAACTCGTACTACGAACAGCGTATTTGGCAGAATGAAGAGCAAGCTGCTGTGCGAGAAAGAGAGGAGAGTGGTGCGGTTGATGTCTTGGCAACGGGGACTTCCAAAGCAGCCATCGCCGCTAGCAACAAAACTTGTAGCGGTTTGGGCGGAAACAAGACGTACACTGCTACCGTAAACAGTCCTCAAAATTCTCGGAATGCTTCGGTAGGGGCTTCTCATGCGCTACCGAAACTCTCGGCACGCCTTGTGCAGACCTCCATACCCCACCGAGCATACCCGTACCCTACCAAACACACCCTTTGCAAAATGGTTGTTACATACCTGCTCTCGCCCGACCTCGACACGCACACGAACAGTCTCCCCCGGGGTGTCTCTCCTCACGAGTCCCCTGAACACTGCCGGGCCATCCGCCGAGAGAAGCTTGTCTACCTCCGCCCCGACCGCGGAGTCGAGGACTATTGGACCCACCTTGTGCAATGGACGACGACGCAAGATGCAGAGGCATGTGGAACAAGGGCCCAAGGGTCGGGGGGGGGATGCCAAAGAGCGTTGTAAAAGGCAAAGACAGAGTCGCGGAAGAATCACGACAGCAAAAAAAAGGGGGATAATGCCAGAGCGTTGTAAATAGCAAATAGCAAAAGAGAGGGAGTTCAACGACAGGGTCAAAACCGCCAAGAGCGTTGTTGTAAAATAGAAGTCGACCGGTGTCGTAAAAACTGCTGATACATACTAAAGTTCCAAGCGGACGCACGGGGACATCTGTTGCGATGACGCGACCGCCACCAGAGCAACAAAGCAAGCGTCAAGCATGTCATCATCGCTGCATCGCAGCAATCCTCTGCCGCTGTGATTTTCTTGTACCGTCGGAGAGCACGACCGACGTCAACCCTCTGCCACTTCAAAGCTACGTGCCACTCTGTTTGAAAAAATACCAACCGCTCGGATACGAATGTAAAACAAACATCCCAAATGGTCCCTACATCTCCAAATACAGGTGGCGTACGCCAACATCACTTCCACCGCCGCCGCCGCCGCCACCCTCGGCCCAGCCGCCCCCCCCCCTCACCTCAGCGAAAGAAACCTGATCTTGTTGCCTCTGGGGGCTCCGCGATCCTGACCTCCCCCCCCTACGACCGTGCCGCCCACGCCTTTCTTTACCCCGATTCGTGGGTGACAGGAAGCCGCCGCTACCAGTACCGCCCAAGTTCAGAGCGGTCCCCGCGAGCGTGCACTTGATGCAGATCCGGGAGCCGAGGTCGTCGGCGCTGGGCTGGTAGAACGGACCCTCGACGCCCTTGATCTCCGCGAACCCTCCGCCCGACGACGAACGGAACCAAACCAGCTGCGTTTCGGTGTTGGCCCGAGCATCGTCATTGGTGGTGAGTTGGGTGTCAGGGTAATAGGAGGGAGGGAAGGGGGGCAGCAGAGGACGAAAAACCGTGGGGGGGGCGGGGGGTCGTCTCGAAAGGACAAAATAACTGCAGCAGCCGTTTGGTCATTTCGTCTGCCATCATGCTCCCATGCCAGTACAAGCGCCGCCGCCTAGGTGCCCCGAGGGTGACAGGAGCAACAGCAACAAGGAATATCGTATCACGCAAAGCCCCACCAAAAAAGACACGCTGGGGCTGCTGTACTACGCGCACCATTCTCTCAGACAACTCAGATCCCAAACCCCGGTGGGCCGGGTGAACACCGTGCGTTGCAAACAATGATCTAACCGCTAAGACATGCAAAAAATAAGAGTACGCCCCATGCCCCCCCCGTGCGCCTTCAAATGACCCCCACCTTTGTGAGCCTCTTGTCCGCGCCGGTCCCGATCACCCGGTCCACCGCACCCGCCTCCTTCGGGGTTTCGGCAACTTCGCCCACCGCCGCCGCCGCCTCCTCCGCCGTGGGTCCCTCTGCCTCCGCCTCCGCTGCCGCCGCCGCTGACTTCGGTGCCGACGGTCTCGCGCGCGCAACTATAATAGCGGTGTGGATGGCGGGGTCTGGCGCGTCGAGGTAGAGACGCCGCACCGCCCGGCGTAACTCTTGGATCGATTCTTCTTCCACTGCGGGGAGGTAGGAGGGGGGGGTTGGGGTGAGACGGGGTCTTCCGACTACCGGCGACGCTTATTGGGCTGCAGGCAGGTTAGGGGGGGGGGGGGGGGGGGGGGG